TGACTTCCATCTGAAACCTCGTGGCCCCCCAAGGCCCAGTAGCCGCTTTTCTAGAGTCGCAGACCCCACCTCAGCCCTTAATCTGAACTAAAACCTAGTATCAGCACCTCAAGAGCAACATCTGAGTGAGAATTAGTGTGAGAGACGCGCAGGGTAACGCAAAGCTAAGCCCCCCCTCTCTCCCATCTCAGAGTCAACTTTTTATTCATATCTCAGGTCTGCTTTCCCACATGGGGTAATTACATCACCTGCAAAGCAGGGGGAGGCCGTCCTCCATTAATCTGTCTTGGCAACCCCAACGAGAGCGTTTAAATGTGAATGTGAGCTTAGCCAGGCTATTAAATCAATTATATTTCAGCAGGATGACATCTGCTCCCCCCCCCCCTGCCAAACCCTCTCCGATGACAGGAAGCCAAGGCCATCTGCCCCGCCCTCCCCACCCCAGCCCGTTGCCCCGGTTACTCACATGCTTCCTGTCGCAGAGCTGCTGTCTGTGGGTAAGGATCCGTTCGACCTCTCCATCTGGGCCAACCTGTGTGCAGGAGGGGGGGGCGGGGTCATTCGGTTGGAGAGCAGGCTGTCTTACTGACGTACCCCCCCCCCCATGAACAGGATGGGCAAGCATGAGCGAGGGGCATCGCTGATCTCCCGCAAAACGGCACATTTGCCTGCAACGCCACAGGCGGTACAGATGTCTGCATTTCGCTTTGGCTCGCTGTGGTTTCAAACAAACAACCAGGGAGCGAACGAACGCAAGATAAAACGTCACGTTTAGGCTGCTAGGATTTAAAAAATACATGAATCTCGGAATGTACATTTAATTGGGGATTTAGGCCAAGTAACAAGCACTGAATATTACCCATAAGCCCCCCCCCCATTCAGCTAATATTGCAGTGGTTTGATCCCCCCGCCATTACACTAACGGCCCGTTTACAGCCCCAAAATGCCCTGAGGTCCATCAGAAAGTGCAGCTTTCTAACACATAAGAAATGTAATATGTAATGCTTTCGGAAAAAAGGATTTTTTTTATTTTTTTTTTTACCGACCAAAAGATATCAGAAATGCAATGCGAATGTGATTTTGATACCAAATCCAGAGGGACAGAGAGGGCAGGCACTAGGGCAGCATGTCTGAAAGGGATACATCCAGGCTTTTAACGTAATAAAGTTAGATTACAGGCACTGAGCTCATCTGGAGATAAACCCACAAAACAGAGATGTGTCCGGGACGGTATTTCCGGGGGGGATTAGGGATGAAATCAGCTGCATGATGCGCCGCTCCACAAAAGCGGGGCTATCGCAGCCGCGGCAAGACGAGCGGGGGCATGGACGGGCACGGAGCGGCGGCACGGCAGGTACCTGCTGGCATACTGCTCTATTCGGGAATGAGTGTCGTCATGAGAGTGGTGCGGTGACGATGAGATCCTGGGGGAGGGGACACAAAGGGACTGGATGAGGATGACCACTGGTGCTCAGCAAACAAAACGAGCAAAAACAAAACACAAACAAGAGCCAAACAGAAATGACAGCAGCGTGGACGAAATGACTGGAGTCCTGTGTTCTATGGATGCGACTGGTTTTATGTCTGATCTTAATGGGGAGAGAGAAAAATGTTAAGGTGTTAAAAACTGAGAGGGAGGTGAGGGGAAGGTGGACAGCACCAGGGACATGCAGGCAGCATGCTACATGTGGG